CGCCGCCAGGCTCGCCCCGCGCTGCGAGCGTGCCCACCATTTGCGACCAATTGCCAATTCGAGCCACTTGAGTAATCATGCACAATCAATGCGGGCGCCGAAGAGCTGAGACGCAGATTCTTTGCAGTTTGCACCGGGTCAGCAGGCGGGCAGTGCAAGGTCACGTGGTCGCGGCACTGGTCATTCGCGATGCGGTAGGCGATGCGATCAGCCGTCGGCAAGCGGCGGTGAAGCCTGGTCCATGGCCGGGCAGGCGCGCCGCTGGCGAAGCGCTCTCGCGGCCTTGCGTCGTCCCACCTCGAGCCCTCGCGGGGGGCCCGCCACGGTGTACGTTTTTACCTCCCCTCACGTGGGCTCCGTTTACCTCTACCTCCGGCGGTCTGAGACAGGTTTACCTTTACCTGAGGCCCCCCAGGCCAGCCCTACCTCTACGGCTTACCTGCGCACCCGGCCCTCCGGGCCGATGCTGTACTCTACCGTTAGCATGCGGTAGGGAACCGGAACTTCGAAGCGTGTCCCCCAAAGCGCCGGGGCTCTGAGTTTGTGTGGCACTGGCACCGCGCACCGGGCGCAGACCGCCCATACGCCGCACGCACGCTCTCACCTAGGGCGGCCCCGCCCGCCCGCGCGTCCGCTCTGTGCCGCTCACCTCTGGCGATTGTCTGGCGCCGCCTGTGGCCGGGCCGCCTCACAGCTCGACCCCGAGGATCTCGGCCACGCGCGGCGTCGCCTTGACGCCCGTCCCGGTGAGCACGACCACCGTCACCTAGACGCTTCCTAGACACTTCCGAGACGCTTCCTAGACCCGTCCCGGTGAGCAGCACCACCGCCACCTCGGCCGGCTGGATGGCGCCCGAGGCGAGAAGCTCGTGGTAGGCGGCGGCGGCCTGCGCGCAAGTCGGCTCGACGTACAGCCCGCTCCTCGCGAGCTCGAGCGTCGCTGCCTTGATCGCCCCCTCCGCCACTCGCACCGCCCCTCCGCCGCTGCGCCGCAGCGCGTCGCACGTCTCGCGCAGCCGCACCTACAACTCATGTAATAATGACTCATGATGGGATACTAACTAGCGTCGCACGGCTCGCGCAGCCGCACCGGCCGAGCGATGGATGCCACATCTCCCCTCATCTCCCCGCATCTCCCCTCATCTCCCCTCATCTCGCACCGGCCGAGCGATGGACGCCACCTCGACTCTTCCCTCCTCGTCTCGTCACTTCTCGTCTCTTCTCTTCTCTTCTCTTCTCTTCTTCACCGGCCGAGCGATGGACGCCCCCTCGGCGATGGTGGCGACAGGCGCGTTCCACTCCTCGGGGGTCGGCTTGCCGTCGCTGCGGCCGCTCTCCTCGAGGAAGGCGGTGCAAATCGGCGAGCAAGCCAGCGGCTGGGCGCAAAAGAGGCGAGGCCGCCTCGAGATCTCGCCCGCGGCGAGCAGCTCCCCAAACCCGATGTCGCACCCCATGACGTTCGATCCGCCGCCGGTCGGGATGATGACCTATTCACAGCTAGAGGTGTGAAGAGACGCTGTTCACAGCTCGACGAGCCGGTCGGGAGGATGACGTTGTCGGGCGCGCGGAAGCCGAGATCCTCCCAGAGCTCGTAGGCAAGCGTCTTCGTGCCCTGCAGGAAGAACGGGTGCCACGCGTGGCTCGCGTAAAAGACGCTGCCGCCGCCCCGCCCTTCGCGGCCGTGCGCCGCCACCGCGGCGTCGGCGGTCGCCTGGCGCGAGCCCGGGATGAGCTCGACCTCGGCGCCGTACGCTCGCATCGCCACCGTCTTCGCCGGACTCGTCGACGACGGCGCCATGATGGTTGCGCCGAGCCCGCCGGCGGTGGCGTAGCACGCGACCGCGGCACCGCCGTTGCCGCTCGAGTCCTCCAGCACCTAGACACTTCCTAGACACCTCCTAGACACTTCCTGGACACCGCCGTTGCCGCTCGAGTCCTCCAGCACGTGCGTGACGCCCTGCTGCCTGAGGAGGGAGAGCATCACGCTGGCGCCGCGGTCCTTAAACGAGCACGTCGGGTTGAACCACTCGCACTTGAAGTGGACCTGTTCACCGCGTGCGCCGTGACGAGGCGCACCTTCCCGCCCCTCGACCAAGCGCACGCTGGGTCTCGACCTCGCCGCCGCCGGATCCGAAGGGGCGGCGGACGAGCGGCGTGCAGCCCTCGCCGAGCGAGATGGGAGAGGCGCACTCCAGCGGGAAGGACGCGGAGTACCGCCAGAGGGAGCGCACAGAGGCGTCTATCTGGCTGCGGGTGATGCCTCCCGTGCGATCGGTGAGCATGAGCGGCATGGGAGAGCCGTCGGCTTCGGCGGCGTCGGCGCACCAGCGAGGCGAGTTGAGCGGGTAGGTCGTGCCCAGGCGGTCGACGTACGAGACGGGAGGCGGGGTCATGGGAGAACGAGGTGTACCAGCGGGACACACACCTGGCCCCCGCGAGGCGGGAGAGCTCGCGAAAAAAAGAAAAAGTTCGCAAGTTAGGCCGGGGTTCCTTTTGGATATATAAAGAAGAAAACTCCGTCGGCCGCCGCCCCCGCGCGCAAGAGGGCTGTGCCGTCTGCCGCGCTTCGACACCGGTCTTGTGCATAACGCGGGCTCCTGTGCCAGACTTCCGCGGCATGATGCACGGCGCGAGTCGCTGGAAGGATTTCAGCACGGCTGACCATCTCGCGCTCGAGCTCGACGCAGCGTGGGAGCAGCCCAAGGAGGAGGGCCAACAAGCGGCTCAAGGAGGGCGACCACCTGGGCGCTGCGAAGCTCTACCGCGATGCGGCGTTACTCGCCATGGGACCTCTCGAGGGTGGGGCCATCCACGCCTTCATCTCTGCCCTCGAGGCCTGGCCCGAGGGATCCGCGCAGCGCCAGTTTGTCGAGAACGAAGACCTGCTGTGGACGTCCTTGGTCGAGCGTCTTCCTGTGCAGCATACGCAACGAGACATGCAGCTTCCTGACGGCGGCTCGTGGACGGCCAAGTTCCCAAACAAGGGTGCCGCCGTCGCGTGGGCGAATCGCGCACAGGCGCTGCTCTTGGCGGGCGCCCCAGACAGGGCGCTGCGCAGCGCGCGGCGCGCGGCCGACGCGAACCCAGAGTATCTCAAGGGCCACCACCGCGTTGTGAAGGCGCTCGAGGCGCTCGGGCGACGAGAGGCGGCGGCCGAGTTGCGGCAGCAGATCCGCGAGTATCCTCTCGCGCGCAGCATGTACCCGGCAGAGTCGCTCGCACTGCTCCACGGGGTGGATCGACTGGCAAAGAGCAAGCATGATCTATGGGCCGACCCGCTTCCGGGCCGCCGCCGAGCACGTCGCGGCGGCGCTGCAAGAGGGCGAGAGGAAGCGGGTGGAGGTGCGAGCGTCGCTGGTTCCGTTTCCGTTTCAGGGAGGACAGTGCCTGATGCTGACCCTCGTCTACGGCCTGTCTGACGAGGTGCAGTGCATGGACTTCCAGATGGTGGACAACCGGAACGCCGACATCTGTGACAGGCCGCCGAATGGCCACGCGTCTCCCAAGGCGCTGGAGCACGCGCCGATTCGGATCGGCGTCTTCATCGAAGAGCTCGCCGACTACGGGCTTGCCGCCGTGGCCGTCATGTGCGGGCAGGGGCTCACCGAGCACGTCGCCCTCGTGGAGCGGCAGCTCAAGCAGGGCTGCCCGCAAGGGATGCACCCGCCGTTTGAGGGGCTCGTCGTGTATGCGGCCGCCTCGACGGCTGCGAGCGAGGACAGCGGGGTGGCGCCGCCGCTGCTCAGCTCCCCGGCGGCGATGGCGGCCACGATGGCTCGGCTCGGCTTGGGGCCGTGAAACACTGCTGTGCTTGTGGGGCGGCGGCGCCCGGCGGCGCCCGGCAGCGCCCTTGATTCGGGCGATATTTGGGCGCTATCCCGAGTGGCGCAAGCGCTACGCACCCGCCGAGCGCCTTGAGAGCTCAGCTGAGATCGCCCGAGATAGCGCGAGTATCGCCTGGGAGATCGCGCGCGGCGCGGCCCGAGCTCGCCCGAGGCTGCGCGATCCGGCACTGGTTGGGTGTAGTAGTCCAAGTTCTTTGCGGGTCTAAACCTGGCTAGCCAAGGCTGGGGTGCTTTACGCGGTCTAAGTGATCAACGCGAGTAGACCTTATCTACCTACGCGGCGCCAGCGTTGACGAGAGAGTAGGACGAATTACTACACGTAGCCCACGTTCCCGGCGCGTCGACAAAAAACGGCCGTGGGGGGAGATTGCATGTGGTCGTCGATCACTTGCCCGCCATCAACTTGGCGGGCGGGGACGGGCGGCGAGGCGGCGAGAAGCACGCAGAGATCCACACACGACACACGTGTGCTCTGGTCTCTCCGCCTGACAAGAGGTGAGAGGCAGCTCGAGAGCGGAGCCGCGGCCGGCGAGGCGGCGGCGCTCGAGAGCACCGTCCGACGCTCGGCGGCGGGGGAGAGAGAGGATGCGCTGCTCGGAGGGGACTACAAGGCGGGAACATGCCATTTGACGCTCGTTCGCCTTACACGAGGACGAGTGGCTGCCGGCAGCCGAAAGTCCTGCCCGAGCTCGAGCATCGCCTTGATGACCTTCTCCTCGAGGTTTGCGCGCCGCAGGAGCACGGCGACCAGCTCCTTCTGCCGCGCGATGAAGCCATTGACGACGGCCTCCGCCGTTTCCGGCTGCGGCGCGACCCCCTCCTGAGTCAGGCGGCGGCCCGGGGCGGAGCACTCGATCTCCGCACTACTGCGGCGAGGACAGTTCCGTTGGCGTTGCCGCATCCGGTGGGCGATGCGGGCCGCAGCGACGGCGAGGCGGAGGGAGGGGCGAGTGGAGGTGGCAGAGATGGCGATGCCGAGGGAGGCGGCGGCGAGGGCGGCAAGTGTGGCAAGGGCGGCAAGGCCGGCGGCGAGGGCGGCGGCGAGGGCGACATGAAGAGAAGAAAAATGAACCTTGTGTGTGCCCCTCTCTTACGAATTATCCGCCAAGGTGGTGGACGGGCCGGCCGCCTTGGATCGCCCCGGGCACAATGGGCGCGAAGCTGCTGCAGGCGCGCGCCGCGTCACTGCTGAAGGAGCACGCGATGACAATCAACCGCTTCCGCTCGCCGAATATGCCGTGGGAAGGGTCGGCCTGCCGCAGCCCTGCCGCAGGCCTCTCTGGCGCATGCTACGCGCTGCCGGCCCTTGTAGCGCCGGGCGTGCTCGAGCCAGCGCTGTGGCTGACGACGGCCTTCTTGTCTTGCATGGCCGACTACGTGCACATCAGTCACGACAGCGCCTTCCACGGCCTCGACCGCTGTTGGGCGACGCTCATGCTGCTCAGATGCTCACTCCTCTTCGGAGCTCGGCTGGATCCGTCCTTCTTCCTGCTGGCGCTGGTGCCGCTCGGCTGCTTCGTCAAGGGGCGAGACGCTAAGCTGTTACCAGATCCGAGTGGCTGGGTCTTCTGGCACACGCTCTGGCACTGCAGCGGTGGTTTGGTCGTCACTCTGGGAGTGTGGATGCTCTACAGGGCGCCAGCAGAGGCGGCGGCTTCCGGGCTGCACATCGGCTGAGAGAGCGAGAACAGCCGTGTCGCTCGCGGCGATGGTGGCGCGAGGGCTCCTCCACGCTGCGGTGGCGAGAGCGCTTTTGTCCGGTTACCGTTCGCACAACTCACAACAAACAACCTAAAAATCTCTCTCTCTCTCAACTCACCGAGACGATCATCTTGAGCCGTCATCTGTGGCGTAACCTAATTACAAAAGCCAATGCGTCGGAGCGGATCCGGTTGCGGGCTGTGTAATTTCTCGGCTGCAGCGGGTGCTGACGAGCACCCGTGCGCGTTCGTCTATTGTGTTTTTTGCCGCATGATATGCTCGTATAGAACGTGCAACCCGCGCGTGCGGGCGTGCGGAGGTCGGCGGAGGGGATAGACGAGGGAATCGAGGGACCGGAGGGCTTTCGCGACAGCGACGATGACGACGAAGGCAGGGGAGGAGACGGAGGGGCGACACGCAGGAGGAGCGAAATCGCGAACGGCCCGAGCAGAGAGGGCGACGGCGGAGCACGAGGGGGCAACGGAGCAGTCAACGGAGACGCTACTGATGACGCGAACCGAGGCACGGGCGACGGCGGGGACGGGGAGGGCGACAGCGATGTCGAGGTTGACGCAACGGTATCGAGAGCGCCACCCAACGGTCGGCGCGCAACCCAACGGTGTCCAATATTCAGGTCGCCTACTCGCTGCCTCCCGAAGGTCGGCGGGTTCGGCGTTGGGGCCAAACCACAGCGCACAGGTTTCTTTCGATCCGGGCCACCCCAAATTTTGATCAGCAAATTTCGAGGGGCGGCCGCAAATTCTGAGGTAGATTTTGATTGTCAAGGAACACGTCCGTCTTGCCGCAGGATAAACCTAGACAAGGAGAGGAGAGAGAGGAGAGAGAGAGAGAGAGAGGAGAGGGGAGAGGGTGAGGGTGTGTGCACACGTGAGGAGTGGGGAGGGTGTCTGTGGTGGGCTGTAGTCATACTTTCTTCGTGGTTAAAACCACGCGCCCCTCAGGAGCTAAGGTAGAGTGGAGCGTCCCAGACGCCTCGGTGCCACCCACCGGCGTGAAGACCATCCGGATCAGCCCAGTACGCCTCCGGGCGAACGGTCCCCGCGATGGCCCACGGTCCTCCGTCGCCTGGTTGACCCCCTGCCTCCCGGTTGACCCCCCGATCCTCGTACTCGACCATTAAATAAACTCTAAGTGCCCGCCGTTCTCCATGGCGCGCGTAGCTATGACAGGGACCGCGGCCGCGGACCCGGTGGCGGACGGGGCTGGTGCGCAAGCGCCGGCCACCGTCGTGCCGCCGGGGATGCGCAGCGGACCCTGGAATAGCTACGATCGCGCGCAACTGCAGGACGCGGTGATGGTCGCAAGGCTCGCAGGTGCGTCACAGGTCAGGCTGATAAGGCCTGGCTACGCGACCATCGAGGTCGACCTGAAGCACGAGAAGGCCGCGGGCGACCGCGAGTCGGTGCAGGCGGCGGAGCGCTCGTACATCGAGCGCACCGCGCCGAAGAAGAAGGAGCCCACCAAGGAGCAGCTCGCGGCTCGAGCCGCGGCACGCAAGGCCAAGAAGGACCGGCAGAAGGCGCGCCGGGCGACGGAGGCTGGCGAGCGCGCCGCGAGCGAGGCCGAGCGCGCGGAGGCCCCGCGGGCGCAGCTGCGCGAGAACATCCAGTACGTGATGGCCGGGCTGCGGTCTGCAGCTGCGCAGGCGCGCAGCCAGGCCGGGTCCAAAATGGGGGTCGAATACTCGCTGCCCCCGGAGAGGGACGACGGGTATCGACGCGGCCCCAGCAAGGTGTACGCCACAGTTCCCCAGGGGACCGTGGCGACGACCGTCGCCTCGGACTGGCTCGCGAACGAGCTGGCCGAGCACGGAGAGATCGATGCGGCATACCGCGACCGCATAGTCATGCACCTGATGACGGCCGCCGGCGCCTCGGCGCCGGCCGACGCCGTGTTCAGGTTCACGGCTGGCGACGCGATGCAGACCGAGGACGACGACGAGGACGCCGACCGCTCCGAGGATTATTCCGACGACGGGAGGGCGTCCGACTTGTAGCTGGCCTCACCCATATCTTACCCTCTGCCCCCCCCTCCTGCTACCCCCCAGGCTAGATGGTCACAGATAGCCCCACACAGCCCCTTACCCCTTCACCCTCGCCTCGCTGCCTGGTGTTTCTGAACACGTAGACGACCACGCTGTGGGGGTTGTGTTATAGGAGTAGGAGTGGGGTGCAGGTTGCTCACCCACGGCACCGGGCCGGTGCTTGCACTTTGAATGCCGTGGGGCTCCTGCCCGTGTCCCGGGCGTGGAGATGCGAGGGTCGCCCCCCCTTGCCCCACCACTTTGTGTGTGTGGAGACGTTTACCTTACCTTACCTTAACTCAAAGGTCCACCACAACCACCAGCCTCCACCTCCACCGTCGAGCCGCGATCGCTGCCGCCCGCGACGCCGCCCGCCGCGTCAGATGCCCGCGACGCGCGCGTCGACTCGAGTCGTAGAGCCGCGCCGCACCAGCAGCAGCATATCATTTCTGCACCAGCACCAGCAGCACCAGCAGCAGCAGCAGCTGCAGCAGCAGCAGTCTGGCGAAAACTCGCTCTCGAGAGCCGCGAGAGGGCGGCGCTCTGCAGTGAGCGGTGCCGCCCGATGAGTGTGTAAAGACGTTCATTTGATCTCATAAAAGACACGGGGCGCGCCTCGCACGGAAATGGCGAGGATTACCTCTTCCGCCGAGACTCTTTTTCACGGATCACGGCCTCCACGCGAGTCCCACACCGCGCGCTGTACATACGCACCCCCTCGCCCGTAGCGTACCGATCAGCCGCGCTGCCGCTTGCGCGCCCCCCCTGCCGCCTTCGGACGCCCCCCGCGCTCGCCAACCCGGAAGGTGTACGTCGCCTTGCACTCGCCAAACGAGAGAGCAGACCCGTCCCGCAGCCGCCTGCTCTCGCCGCCCGGCACCCGGCCACCGTCGACAAACGTGCCAGAGGCGGAGCCCAGATCGAGCACGTAGCTCTCGGCGACGCCCCCCGACTCGGCGTGCAGCAGCGCCGCGTGCTGCCTGTTCACAGCCAGAGGCGTGAAGAGGCGCTGCCCCGCTCGCTTGGTGCAGCAGAGCTGCCGTGAGCTGCCGCGAGACGGAGCCGTCCGAGACGACGACGTCGCTCAGCTCCGCCTTCCGGCCGAAGACGGTCGCGCGGCCGCAGAGCGGCAGCTCCTCGTCAACGTCTCCGCCCTCGCCCTCCCGCAAGTGCTCGAGGTATGGGTTTGAAAAGTCGTTGGAGCGCACCTCGAGATAGCACTTCCGCGCCGGCTCCTCCGCCCAAGGAGGGGGCCTCCACCTCGCAAGCTTCACAGGCTCGCAGCCAGCGACGCGGTAGACCACCTTCGACGAGCCGAGGCGGAAGGTCGCGCCCTCGGCCAGCTGCTGCGGCTCCGCGGTGTGGTCGAGCCGCACGCCCAACTGCGGCACCTGCAACTCGGCCAGATCTCGCTCAGATCTCGGCTGTCCCTCGGAGGGGCGTGATGCCGCACGCCCAGCTGCGGCACCGCGTGCGTCCGCCCCGCAGCGTCGTACCACGTCCCGTGCGCCGAGTCGAGGTCGGCGAGGAAGGTAGCGCTGGAAGAGTTGTACAGGGCGGCTTGCATCCGCGAGAGCGACGGGTCGTCCAACAGGATGTCCGCGACGCCGCCGTGGCGGCCGAGAATGGTGACGGGTCGCTCTCCGATGGCCATCGAACGGCTCACCTGGCCCCTCTCGATCATCTCGAGGCGCGGCGTGTGCATCGCCGCCGGCTTGCACCACGGAGGCGGCCGGAACTTGCCGCCGCCGGGAGCAGCGGCCGTCGTCGCGCCGCCCGCCGCCGCCGCCTCGGGAGGCCTCGACACCTCGGGAGGCGGCGCAAGCGGCGGCGCGGGCGCGGGCGGCGGCGGCGGCGGCGGCTGCGGCGGCGCTGGGGCAGGCGGCGCCGACGGAGCTGCGTCCGCCTCCTCCTCCTCCTCGGCGTACCCTACGTCGGTGGAGGGGTAGGCGTCGATGGCAGCGTCGGTGTCTGGGTACGCGCCCGCCGCCCCGTCTCCGTCGGAGGGCGGAGATGCTCCCGTCACGCCTGCTTGCCCGTCCGGATAAGCAGCGTCGGTGTCCGGATAAGCAGCGTCGGTGTCCGGATAAGCAGCGTCGGTGTCCGGATAAGCAGCGTCGGTGTCCGGATAAGCAGCGTCGGTGTCCGGATAAGCAGCGTCGGTGTCCGGATAAGCAGCGTCGGTGTCCGGATACGGGTCGCCCTCGTCTCCATCGCTGCCGATGCCGCCCGCGCCGTCCTCACTGCCGAGGTACGCCCCCGCGACTCCCTCCTCCGCAGAGGCTGCCCCGCCGTGCCCCTCTCCCCCCCCCTCCGTGTGCGCAAAAGCGCCCTCCGCCGCCGAGATCTCTTCGCACCGCTGCAGCTGCTCCCGCCGCGCCCGCCGCAGCGCCTCGTCTCCACGCACCTAATTAATAATTAATGATTAATTACTTGACTAACTAATGAATTGCCCGCCGCAGCGCCTCGTCGCCGCGCACGTCGATCGCGTCGAGGTCGCAGCACAGCTGCGTGCAAGCCTGTTGATCAACCCTTAATAAATCAATTCTTCATTCATGAAGCTCGAGGTCGCAGCACAGCTCTGCGTGGTGCAAGCCTCCCGCACAGCCACAGGATCTAGCGACGCCGCCCGCGCCTGCAGCGCGGTCAGCTGGTCGGCGACGCGCTGAATCGCCTCGAGCGCGGCTGCATGCGCGCCCGACGACGACCCCTCCTCCTGATCCTCCTCCTCCTCGCCCGCCACGCTAAACGGGTCGATGCTGCCGCTCGTGCCGTCGGGCGCAGTCCAGCTTTTTGCGCGGTCGTCGAGGGTGTAGCCGCGCTGCGCGAGGGCGTCGCGAGCCGCATCGGCCGCGCGGAAGTCGCGCCGCTGCCGCGCGGCGCTCCGCTCCTCGAGCCTGCTCCGCAGCTCCTCGCGGGAGAGCAGAGGGCCGAGCACGTCCGCGGCGGTGGCGCGCAGCCCGGTGACGTACGAGAAGCCCTCGGGCGGAGCCTCGGCCTCGGACGCCTCGCTGCCGGCGTCGGAGAGCTCGTCCAGCTGCGCGAGGAGCGACGACATTTAATTTCACTTCACCTTCACCAACTACCTGCTCCGCTCGAGCTTTCGCGGCGCGTTACCGCCCTCCCTTGCCTCATAAAGAATTTTACAAGAAAACTCCCTCGCACGACACTGGGCACAGGACTGGGCACGGGACTGGCTCGCACTGGCACTAACACAGGTACACCTCATAAAGAATTTCTCTCTGGAGGTTCTCGAGGTGGATATCCTTTGGCCGCGTTGGGTAGCGAGGATTGGTGTAACCCGAGCCACGGAGGCGTGTTTTCTGACGGCCGACCGTCAGTGCACGGAGTTGCCCCTTCTCCGACTGCCCCGGCTAGTTCACGGGTTTCGCGGGAGTGACCCCATGCGTCAAACCCGAGACCTAGCGCGGGTGGGTTGGAGGGGGCTCGCCCCGTTCCTCCCCATCGGGCCGCATGTGCGGCCACGCCTCGCAGATTCGTTTCTCGCGCCTGGGTCAGGCGCGCGGGGCATCCCCCGGGTCGCTCGACCAGCGATCCGAAGAGTGGCCGCTATGCGAGGGAAAGAGGGGGGCCCACGGGGTACGCCTCCGTCCGGCCCCCTCCGAGGGGTCGGCACCGTATTCGCCCACAGCACGCCAGTGTGAAGTGAGTGTCAGAGTGTCGGAACTCGGTGGGAGCATCCGTCCTTATTCACGTTCACACTCGCTCGGAAAAGTGAAATTTCGTTTCACATGAAATGTGAAGTGAAAGTGAAAGTGAAATCGATTGGCGTATCGCGCCCGCTCGTGCACTTGTCCACGAGGTCGCGCTTCACACTCGGGGCTATGCGCAGCGCGCCTTGCGGCGGTGGCACCGCCGTCACGCCTTGCGCCACGTGCGAGCCCGTGAAGATGACCAGCACCTTTTGACGCAGTGCGGTCTCGAGGGTGGCGGAGATCACGAGCCTGACCGAGCAGCAGTGGCCGCGCTGCCGCTCCTTGCAACAGCCGATGGAGCAGGCCCCCGTGCCGCCGCAGGCGCGCAGGCAGTTAGTCGGGTCGGCTGCCAGGCGCCCGTGACCGCGGCCGGAGCAGTAGAGGGTGAGAGAGAACACCTGCGCGCGCAGCGGCATGGCGGTCGTGCAGTGCCGCGCGGGTGGAGAGAAACAGGCGCGTGGTGGTGGGACGCCGCTGTGCCTGTTTGTTTGGCCTGGCCTTTGCTGTGCTGCAGCCAAGCGGCGTCACGTCGTAGATGTCTGCCAGGTCGTGCTTCTGCTGAGAATGCGAGGGGGGCAGGTCCCCCTCGACCGGCCGATGAACGACCAGAGCAGTGTCGATCGTGGCACCCTTGATCTTGAGGAAGTTGTAGTTTGTGATCTTGGCCGGCCCGTTCGCGAGCACAAACGCCGGCACGGCCTCGCCCATGCTGACCTCCCACACATCTGGCCGCACCTCGGATGCCTGCCCGCTCAGCCGTGTGATGCTTGCCGGCGCGAGAAGCGGCCTCTGTCGGGCGCCGGGGGCTGCAGCCATCGCCGCCGCCAACGGCGCCACTGCGCCGCTTCGCGCCAGCGAGTCGGGGGTAGAACTCCATCGGTACCTCAAAAACGGCGTGAGCGCGTGAAACGGCCCGTCGGCGAAGGCGACTCGCGCTGGCACGTGCACAGAGGTATGTTGACATACGCGGCTACACGTGTGGGCGCCTATCTAGGGTAACATACGCGCCCCACGCGTAGGCGTGTATGTCACGCGGTACGCGGCTGCGAGTGCAGCCGCCTATGTTAGCTAAGATAGGCGGCTGCACGTGTGGGCGCGAGTACCGCTATACGCGTCTGCACGTGTGGCCGCGTATCTTGGCTAAGATACGCGCCGGCACAGGATGACACGTATCAGGCCCCGCCGAGCTCGATGCGCGGCAGCGCGTGAGGCCGGCTATTCTCCCCCCGAGGCAGGCGAGGATACGCAGTCCCTCGTGTCGCGCGTGTAAGTCCCGGTTGCCGTGCGCGCCAGCGCGTGTGGCCGCGTACCTTAGCTAAGATACGCGCGCACGGGCGTGGGTGGGTAAAAACGGGTCACTTTGCGGGGTTTGCCGTCTCTCGTAGATACCTGGTCGCGAGCCGATCATGAACATGATTGCTCGCCCGCGCCGTGTGCGTGTCTTTTAGCTACTGGGAGAAAAGAGGGAGGGTTGTTGAACTGTGTGATCTGTCCGAGCAGCATGGCATTGCGGGATGCACTTGTGACTTGAACACTTGAGCACTGGTGACTGGAAGGGTCGATCCCGCATGGTACGGGACATTAGGGACCCTCCCTCGGGCGTGTTCATTGGGGGCGCGCGAGGCAATGGCTTGAAGGCAATGTGCATCTTTCCAATACACAATAGCAAAAACAAATCTGCAGGACCACCGATCTCCGAAGTCGATAGTGCCGCTGCGACACTGGTGCGGCGGTTAATGAATAACTCGAACGACAGTCTCATGCCGGGCTCGAGATGCCGGGCCCTCTAGGGCGGGCCGCTCGAGAGAGAGCTGCCAGGAGGAGTGCGGCCATTACACTGCCGTCCGGGCAGCCCTGTGGGCAGCGCTCCGCCACCGGGCGCCCCCGAACCAGGGGCTCCGCACCGGCGGCATCATGCGTCCGAACGACCGAGTCTGTGGCGTGCACCTGCACCCTCTCTCTCCCACTCTCCGGCCCCTCTCAGCGGAGGATGGTGTTAGAGTGCGGCGCGCCCCCCGCGCCGATGGCGGCCGCATTCTTCGCGGTAATATCATGGCCGCCGCAGCACGTGCAGCCGCACGCGGCGCAATTGTTGTAGTACATCGGCGGCGGGCACGGCCCCTCGCGGACGCCCTTCGTGCCGCCGACCTCCGCGACGACGGTGAAGGGGTAGCCTACCTTGTGCTCCACGACAGTCTCCGCGCCAATCTCCTCCTTGATCGCCGCCTCGGACAGGGCCTTGTTGCCTGAGGCGAGAACGACGAGTGAGCACGATGGAGAGGGCGGAGCAGTGCGCATGGAGAGAGCGCAGCGCGGCGATGGAGAGGGCGAGATTATGAGCAGTGCGCGAGAGAGCGCTCGCGCGGAGGCGAGCGCTGCTGCTTACCAAGGACCCAGCCCGCCCAGGGTCAGGAGTAGAGCGTCACGGTCTTCGACATCAACAACCGTTGGTGGCAGTGGGGGGGGGGGGGGATGGCCGGCGGTCGCTCGGGGCAGAGAAGGAGAATATAATTCAAACCGTTGTCTTTTTTCTTCGTGTCCTACGGGATTCGCGCCAACATTTCCCACCAAGGCACCACCCACCACACACAGGGTATGTTCGGCGCGCCAGACACCTCCTCCGTCGTGCACGAGCAGCCGGTCCGCGCCCCCGATCCTCCCCACGCCGCCACAAAGCGCCGGCCGCCTGTCCGCTGGCCGCGCCTGCCGCCGAGAGCGGCCGATTGCACGGGGCCGCCAGCGCAGACCGCGTTGATTGCCCTTTCCTGCCGCGGGCGAGGCCTCCGCCGCCGCCGGCAAAGCAGCGCAGCCGCACAGCACTCGCACTCGCACCGCCGCCGCCGCTGCCGTATGCCGCCCGCCCGCCGCTGCCGCCGCTGCCGCCGCCGCCGCCGCCGCCGCCGCCGCCGCAGTCGCCACCGCCCACTCCCGCTCCCGGCACTCCTTCCACTTGCGCCCGACCCGTCCGCCCGCGCCCGCCCACCGCGCAGTGGCTCGAGAAGTACCGCCCGCGCGAGGTCAAGGACATCGTCGGCAACGAGGACACCGTCGGCCGCATCGCTGTCCTCGCGGCGCAGGGACCGCCTCTCGCCTCTGCCTAGGCCCTCGCACAAGCCTCCTCCTCCGACCCGAGCCGCTTCCCCACAACCCACCCCAGGCAACATGCCGAATCTGATCCTGTCCGGCCCCCCCGGGACCGGCAAGACCACCTCTGTCCTCGCCCTCGCCCGCGCGCTGCTCGGCGACGCCTTCAAAGAGGCGGTCCTCGAGCTGTGACCAGCGTCTCTTCACAGCTCGAGCTGTGAACAGGCGACGCCTTCAAAGAGGCGGTCCTCGAGCTGAACGCCTCCGACGACCGCGGCATCGACGTCGTGCGCAACCGCATCAAGAGCTTCGCGCAAAAGAAGGCTTCGCCCGCCCTGCCACTCCTCCCCCTCCCCCGAACCAGCGCTACGTTCACTCGCGTGCCACCCGCCCCTTCCCCGCTCCCCCTTTCCACTGCGACTACTCACCGGCCGCTCCACCACTGGCAGGCCACAGCTGTGAACAGCGTCTCTTCACTCCCCACCCACCGACCACACCGTGTGCCAGGTCACCCTGCCGCCCGGCCGCCACAAGATCGTCGTCCTCGACGAGGCGGAGATCGAGCCGAGATCGAGATCGAGCCGAGATCGGAGATCGAGCCGAGATCGGAGATCGAGCCGAGATCGGAGATCGAGCCGAGATCGGAGATCGACCCGAATTCGGAGATCGAGCCCAAATGGTCTTCCTTGAGGCCAGAGGGGTTTCCCGGGGCCCCCCCCCCCTGGTGTTCCCGGGCCCCCTTTTTTTGGGAAAGGGGGGCAGGGCTTCCAGGGCTTTTCGAAGGGGTATTTCTCCCCTTTTCAGGGGGGCCATTGGGGGGTTTGGGCCCCCCCCCCCCCCCTTCCCCCCCCCCCCCGTGGGCCTCAGGCGGACTCGATGACCGAGGGGGCGCAGCAGGCGACCATATCTCCCCATATCTCCCCCATATCTCCCGCATATCTCCCCATCCCTCGATGACCGAGGGGGCGCAGCAGGCGACGCGGAGGGGGAGGGAGGGTCTGCTTCGGCTGTCCCCTCACCAGCGTGCATTCATGCATGGCAGGCGATGCGGAGGACGATGGAGATCTACTCGGTGACCAAATTAGCCGAGAGGAGGAGCCGAGAGGAGCCGAGAGGAGTAGCCGAGAGGTAGCCGAGAGGAGTAGCCGAGAGGTAGCCGAGAGGAGTAGCCGAGAGGTAGCCGAGAGGAGCCGAGAGGTAGCCGAGAGGTAGCCGAGAGGTAGCCGAGAGGTAGCCGAGAGGTAGCCGAGAGGAGCCGAGAGGAGCCGAGAGGAGCCGAGAGGAGCCGAGAGGAGCCGAGAGGTAGCCGAGAGGAGTAGCCGAGAGGCAGCCGAGAGGTAGCCGAGAGGAGCCGAGAGGAGCCGAGAGGGAGCCGAGAGGGAGCCGAGAGGAGTAGCCGAGAGGTAGCCGAGAGGTAGCCGAGAGGAGTAGCCGAGAGGAGCCGAGAGGAGCCGAGAGGAGCCGAGAGGAGCCGAGAGGTAGCGGAGAGGTAGCCGAGAGGTAGCCGAGAGGAGTAGCCGAGAGGAGCCGAGAGGTAGCCGAGAGGGCCCGAGAGGAGTAGCCGAGAGGAGTAGCCGAGAGGAGTAGCCGAGAGGAGTAGCCGAGAGGTAGCCGAGAGGAGTAGCCGAGAGGCAGCCGGAGGGCGACGGAGCTCGGCTCGGCGACTTGATCGCCCCGCGCTCGCTCGCGCAGCCAGAGACAGCGACGACTAGCAGCCAGAGACAACTGTACGAGCAGCGCACCGCCAACCCCCCCCCCCCCCCCCTCCTCCTCTGTCAGGCGACCACACGGTTCGCGCTCGCGTGCAACCAGAGCGACAAGATCATCGAGCCGATCCAGTCCCGCTGCGCCATCCTGCGCTACGGCGAGCTGCGAGGCGGCGTCGCGGCGGCGGCAGCGGCGCATCTTCACAGCTGCCAGCTGTGAACAGGCAAGCTCTCGGACCAGCAGGTGGTGACGCGGCTGACGGCGGTGCCGCAAGCCGACGGGTTCCAGTGAGTTTGGTCTAGGCAGGCGTTCTCAGGAATGACTTGGTTCTCAACCAGGTGCTGGAGGCGGAAGGCGCAGCCTACGACGAGGGCGGCATCGAGGCGGTCGTCTTCACGGCCGAGGGGGACATGAGGCAGGCGCTCAACAACGCGCAGGCGACCGCGGCGGGGCTCGAGGCATCCTCTTCTGCTACTCCGAGTGAGCGGAGTCATGATTGGAGTGGGCAGGCGACCACTGCGGGGTTCGGTATCATCTCGAACCAGAACGTCTTCAAGGCAGCCGCGCCCTCTCCTCCTCCCGGCCAGCGAAGGCTCTCGCCAGAAGGAGTGAGCACGTGACAGGTGTGCGACCAGCCTCACCCTGACCCTAGCAGAAGCCCTAACCCTAACCCTAACCCTAGCCCTAACCCTAGCCCTAACCCAACCCTAACCCTAACCCCAACCCTGACCCTAACCCTACCCCTGCAGGTGTGCGACCAGCCTCACCCCGTCGTCATCAAGCGAGCCATCGCCGCGTGCATCGCCGCGGACTTCGACGCGGCTTGCTCGGCCGGCGAGGCGCTGTCTAAGTATGAACGAGCTCGCTGACTACGCCCTCATTATTCATTAGGCTTGCTCGGCCGTCGAGGAGCTGTCCAACAACGGGTGTGACGAGACGCTGTAGTGAGATGAGCCGAGATTTCTCGAGGAGTCACCCACGGGTTCAGTGGGGTGGAGAGGAAGGGGTTGGGGGGGGGGGGGGGAGAGGGGGGGGGAATGGAACGGGGGGCTCCTGCTGAATGAGGCGCTCTTCATGTGTCCGACAACCCCTGCTTCGGTGCGGCACCGACTAGGTACAGCGGGATGGACGTGGTGGGCACGCTGTTCAAGCTAGTCAAGTGCGACGGGCGGGAGGAGGCGAGCTCACGCTCCTGAGGAGGCGGCTCGTGAGCCGCAGCATGCGCTGTCCTCAGGTTCGAAGAGATGGACGAGGGGCTCAAGCTCGACTTCATCAAGGAGATCGGCGCCGCGCACATGCGCGTGCTCGACGGGATGGACACGCTGCTGCAGCTGACAGGCCTCATCGGCAAGCTCTGCCTCGCCGCGCAGCAGCGGAAGGGCGCGCCGCGCGGCTGACCATCTCGAGGCGGACCGTCCCGGTGCCGGACACGCGACGCCCGACCACGGAGACCAGCGCAGCGCACCCGGCTCGCCACGACCGGAAGGGGTCCGCCGGTGTGTATGAGCCACGCAGTGCACAAAATGTACGTTACGACCCAGTATATGTGAACTCCACTCCACTATAAACCCCGGGAAAAAATTGGCAAAACGGCACACATGTATGTTCTAGTGCGCACGTAGAGCCGAGAGAGACTTAGACGACCTCCGGAAGCGCGGGAACGGCCGGGCGAGAGTGGAGAGACGCCCCACACACTCCCACGACACTTCACACCTCGGCTCAGGGCTTTGTGCCTCGAACGTGTTGTATGTCTATGTGGTGATGCGATGCTATCCCCTAAACAGCTCAGTAACGCCACTTGCCCTGCCGCAGGAGAGGCCTCCGCGCGCTCGCGGCCAACGCCGTGTACTGCGCGAACGACTCCTTAACGACGCCGACGGCATCAGCGGTGAACGCAGCCGCCGCCGCCTCCCGTGCCTCGGTCGCCTCTGCTCTGGCCAGCGCCTCCGCCACCACCTTTCCTTGGCTCACGAGTAGCTCCTTCAGCCCGGCTCGCTCGGACACCCATCCGGCCGTCGCCTGCCTACACAGGAATCGCGCCGTTGGCCAGTTGGCGCGCCTGGCCAGTCGCTCGGGGTGAAGCGATGGCGCACTCGAACTCCGAGGTGGCGGCAGCGAGGGCGCCCTCGAGCAGGTGAATGCGCTGCCGGAGCTTGTCGGCGCTGTCAGCGCTCTCCTGCAGGTTTGACCGTGGATGATAACGGACCGAAGTGTAGGAGAGGTGTCGGCGAGAACCCTCCTGCAGCAGCTCCCCCGCCCTCACCGCACGGCAGCCAACGATGCTGGCCGCCTCCGTGTACGACTGCGCCTCCAGCCGCTCCTACGAAGGCACCAAGGAGGCGAACATCTGTGCAAGGATAGGCAAGTCGACCCCTTACGCACTTTTCACAAAGGGGCTCTCACAGCAAACTCTGAATTCACGGGGCCGACTACAGTGTAAAGCGGGAAGTCGGTGGTTGCAGCCTGCGCGAGCGTGCGGCGGGTTTCGGCAGCAAGGTGCTCAGCGATGCGCAGGTCGGCGGAAAGGACTGTTGTGACGACGTCCCCGCCGCCAAGAGCGTCGGCTAAAGCCTGGCTTGTCAGCAGCGCGTTGGCTGTCTCTGCTTCCGCCTTGCGCTCTGCTGCCGCGAGTCGTGTCTGGAGCTCCTCGACCTCCTGCCGGTGCTTAGCTGCGGCGGCGGCGGCCGTGGCGACCACAGCTCTCATCTCCGACCGGCACGACTCGAGAGCAGACACAGACTCTGTGCTCACCGACCGAGCCGCTGCCAAATCTGAGCGGTGGACGGCCTCAATGGCGGCGAGGTGGCGAGAAAGGAGGGCGCGCTCATGAGCGCCGAGCCGTGTCGAGAGCAGACGCGCGTAGGCGCCCCTCGCCCGTGACGATACTAGCGAGCCCTCTCTGGGTTGCGCCATATTGCAATGTCGATTCGCGTCGTCGCAACACTTGTCCAACTGTCGCCGACCTCAGCGGGACGCACGACGGAGCCGTTACACATGCCGCCAGAAATCTTGAGTTCTTTTTCTCCCCTAGAATTCTTCTGCGGCGCGCTCTAACAAGCCCTACAGAGGACGTTTCAGAATCGATTGCGATCCTGCGATGGAAAGCGAGGGCGAGGAGAGCGCTGCGGCAGCCCCCGAGCCACGGCTGGAATGGCCGCAGAGGCAGGGGGCATCCCCCGAGGCCCCGCCCCAGGAGGTGCGGCGGCCGGCGCCGCCATCGGGCCCGCTCCCGCCACCACCACCTCCGCCCCCGCCGCCGGAGCGACCGTTGGGTCGAGGAGCCGCCCCTGAGGTTCTGCACCAAGCGGTGCGGCCGCCAGTGCCGCCATCGTTTCCGCCACCCACACTGCCATTTCCACCCCCGCCACTGGAACGGCTGCAGGGTCGTGGGGCCGCCCCAGCGGCTCCACACCAGACGTTTGGGCCGCGAGGGCCGCCACCGTACCCGCCGCCCCTGCCACCGCCTCCACCCCCGCCGCCGGCGGGGCCGCCGCCGTATGGACCCGCTCGGAATAACCTGGGGGGTCCGGGACCGCCCCGCCGGAGGCTGGTGTATCCGGACGGAGGAGATGGGGGAGGGGAGTTACCGCGGTACGATAGTGGGCCCACCGGCGAGCCGGAGGGCCGTGGCCGGAGGGCCCCGGAGGGGGCTTGGGGTCAGTTGTCGGAGGAGGCGAGAGATGAGCTGACGCGGCCTCTGAGAGTGGAGTCGGGACGTACGGGCTCACCAGGGGAAGGCCAGTCGCGGTGGCAACCGGACCACCACGACCTTCCACAGGGAGGGCCACGCCCCTCCGAGCCTGGAGAGGAGCCGGCGGAGGGGGGGGGCGAGCCGAGGACGATAGAGAGGCCGCGGGTGCGGGCGCGAGACAACCAGGGAGAGCGGGCTCGACCCCCCGGGGGTGGAACTGGTCGCGACCCAATGCCACCGTTCTCGCCCGGGGAGACCTCGACCGGGCCGTCGACGCCCTCGGAAGCGGTGGAGCCGGGAGAAGCTGGCGGAGATGAAGGGCGGCAGCGGAGGAAGCGACACCAACAACGAGGGAAACGACCATACCGGTCGTCGCATAACGCTCGGGAGACGAGCAAGAGAGCGAATCAAGGAGGGTTGAGACCCTGGGAAGGCGAGGGGTGAGCCCTCAGGCGGGGGGGTCTACTCAGACGCCGACGCAAGTGAGTGTAGAGTGGTGGTGTGGGGCGTGCAGTATGGTGTTCATTAGCTCCGAGTAGAGGGGGCGTCCTGCAGTTAAGGGGAAACCCGGTACGCGGGGCTAACCCTCGGAGACCCGTGTTTACTTTAAGGCCCTTGCCCTGCGAACGCGCACCCCCGGGGCTAGGGCTCTCTAGCCCGTAACCCGATCCCGATCATCCGGCCCGCTGGGTGCGCTTCTGAGCTCCCCGGCCCTGGATGTGAGGTTAATGACTGCACTCCAAGTGCTCCAAGTGCTCCAAGTTTACCACACCCCAGGACGCGCGAAGACTTTCATCAGCTTCTCTTGGCTTAAATACGAGTCTTAACACGAGTGATTACGACGCTGGTCGCCCGACGACGCAGCACCAGCGAGCGGAAAACTCACCTCTCATGCCAAGACGCAAGAGCACTGTGCCCGGCCCAGATAGACAGCTAGAGAGACGTGCATCGACAATGCTGCGCGCGAACGCTCAGAGGTCCGCCTCCTCTAGGTGTATGACGAGGAATTGACACCCACAGACAGCATTTTGTTAGCCGGCGAGGTGTCGCCTCGGCTGCGGGAGATTGAGATTACCCACCAGATCACTGCGGCACCAGGACGGTCTGGGCTCGGCTCAAAGTCGAGCGTGAGGGTGACCTCTAGGTCGCAGCCTCACGCGCAGCCCATCAGCGCACCTGTAGCAAGGCGTCCAGGATGAGGTTACGGGCTGCGCGCTGCATCTCGCCTGTGCTGCTGCAAAGGGTTTGGAGGGCAACGGGCGCAAGAGGTAGGTGTGGCGGGTGGTGGCATGCACCCTCGCACGCGATTCATCTGCCCCGGAGCATGCCCGTTCGCGTGTTGCCGTCGCGTACTCGACAGACATGAGTGATGCAGCTCTGAACATCCAGGTACGAGCGGCGTCTTGGCTGCCTGACGTGGAATGCGGCGCCATCGTGACGCTTCTGGCTGGCGGTAAGCCAGCAGTATCTCGTGGGCGGGTACGATCTTACGCGCGAGACAAGTCGCGAGGGTCCATCCGTCGGTGTGAGGGCCGCGCGCGCCTCTTCGAGCGAACGGAGAGCAGGGTTTACCGGCCGCTCCACCCGCCTGTGGCCCCGCTGTGCCACACCCGCTCGGCACCATGGTGGAGGTGCAGGTTTGGGTCAGAGCGGTAGGACGAGTTGGTTTGGAGCGTAGGGCATCGCATGGCAACGACAGGGACCGCAGGTACGGCTGTGAAGCGCGCCACAGTCCATCCGCGACACGGCGTGGGTCGGGCGCCGCGTCAAGTTATACGAGGGTACACACACACGCCTCTCGAGCCTCGCATGGATCAACCCTCGCAGGGACTTCCAGGAACAGGCACGTGGATGCTACGTTCCTCTTGGAGGTCCTGTTCTCGTGGTGCCTCTTGGAGTTTCGTTACTCGCCGCGTAGATCGGTGAGCAGGGGAAAGTCGTGATTTCTTGTTGGCTTCAAAAAATAAAGCCGTATCCTCTCTCTCTCTCTCTAGATCGGGGTCCGCGTTCGAGGCCAACGCCGCCCTTTCGGCGGCATGCAGTGATGAAAAGAAGCTCCAAGCTGGCTCAGGGCACAGGGCCGCCGCCGTGGCGCACGCGTGGTCGTGCCTCGTGGAGCGTGTTGTGCTTGTCGTGTCCGGCCCGGGGCCTCGACAGGGGGGCCCCCCCCCCCCCCCGCCCCCGCGCCCCCCCGCGGGCCTCCGTGTCCCTTGACGGCTTTGTGTGAACACAGATCACAGTATTGCCATGCCTTTTCCACTGAGGCCGCACGCCCCGTCAAGGCCGCGGCACGCACACCCGATACGGCTCTAGATTACACTTGGAATCCCTGCGGTCCTTCACGCAGCTCACAGCTCACAGCTCACGTTACAAACACCTTGGGGAGAGGCCGGCGGCACTCACTCACTCTGTCCTCCTCCCTCTCTGCCCGCTCGCCCCCTGCCAGGCTCCACTTGACACGCTCACAGTCCTCCCTACCCGCCCTACCCTTGTCAGCCGCCCCCCTCCCGGTTCGGGAGGAGGGCCTCTGCATGCCGGCTAGCCTGCCCCGGCGGCGCGGGCGCATCGAGCCGCAGCAGGCCGAGCTGCAGCGCCCTCCGCACCAGCTCCGTCCGGTTCGAGGAGGAGGTCTTGTCGAGCAGCCGACGCACGTACTTCTCCACGTGCGACTTCGAGACGCCCAGCCGCACCGCAATCTCTTTGTTCAGCATCCCCTCCCCAACCAGCTCGAGCACTGTCCGCTCGCGGTTCGTCAGGCGCGGCGCCGCCTCCGCCTCCGCCTCCGCCGCCCCCTGCCCCCCGGGCACATGCAGCACCAGCGCGCCTCTATCGCCGCCGCCGCCGCCTCCCGCCGCCGCCGCCGCCGCCGCCTCGATCAGCCGCGGCGGCGAGGTTATGGCCACCCCGCCGCCCGGTTGGCTGCCGACTGCCTGCTGCTGCTGCTGCTGAAGGAGGAGGAGCTGGAGGAGCTGCTTGGTGGCGGACACGTCCTCGGAGAGGGAGGCGAGCTCCTCCCTCGTGGTCGCTGCGCGAGAGAGCATCGCGTTGGCGAGCAGCGCGTTGCAGCAAGCGAGGAGCTCCTCGGGGTCGAAGGGCTTTGTGAGGTACGCCGACGCGCCGGCGCTGTAGCCCGCGATGCGGTCCGCCGCGAGCCCGCGCGCCGTGAGCAGCAGCACCGGCACCCCGCACAGCGCCGGCTCAGAGCGGACCCGCCGCAGGAGGCCGATCCCGTCCAGCCCCTGCATCATCACGTCGGTGATGATGAGGTCGGGCCGCGTCGACGGCGTGGCGCGGCGCAGCGCGCGTAGCGCCACGCCCGCGTCCGCGTACGCCTCGCACTCGAACCCGTTGTCCGCGAGGTACTTGTGCAGCGCCGAGCGCATGCCGTCGTTGTCCTCGACGAGGAGGACGCGCGAGCCGGCGGCGTGAGCGAGGGCCGCCGCGGGCGGCGCGCGACGCGCGGCTGGAGCGGCGAGCAGCGTGATCGCCGCGCTGCCGAGGAGCCGCATATCGCTGGCTGGGACCGTGCCGCGCGGCGGCGGCAAGGCACAGAAGATAACGCAGGTCCGCTGAGCGGAGATGGGAATATGCGGCGTGGCGTGGAGCGGTTGAGCATCCTCCGGGGGCGCCTCTGCGCCGGGGAGGCGTTGTTGGAGGCTAGGACGCAAGCGTCCGTCGCCCTTTTTCAAACTCGGGGCCCACTCCGCTACGCTCCGACCCGAATTTGGAGGGCCTAACTGCGTCATGACCAGCCTGCCATGCGTCGCCGGTGCCGCATTCGTCGCAGTGCTTCTGTAGCAGGCGGTGGACTGTCGGCTGCGAGGACGGTCGCATTTGCGCGAGGCGAGGCGAGCATTCAGACGCGTTGCATGCGCCATGCCTCGCGCCAGCGCGTGCGGGGGAGCTCCGTGGCTGAGCGTTGAGTCCAGGCGAGTTGCGCTGGCTACGATCGCTACGCCGAGCCGAGCTGACGCGCCGAGGCGCCGGCCAGTCGCAGCCGTGAGGCATGCCACAGCAGCAGAGGCACCTCCCACCCATTGGGCGGGCAGACAGAAGGCCAGGGCAGCACTGGCAAGTGCAACGCGCCTCATGTCGGAGAGCGACCGTGCCTCTCGTTCGCCGCTTATGATGTAGAGTTTGTTGTAGAGATTTCGCGTTGTAGAGCGCCTCTACATCGCTCTACAACGCAGGCGCTTCGTCCCGCGGCGGATGTAGAGCTCTACAGCTCTACAGCGCTCTACAGCTCTACAGCTCTACAGCGCTCTACACTCTACATCCTCTACACCCTCCCTCAGGTCCTGTCGACAGCGTGCCGACAGCGACACAGACCATGTGGGACGCTTCGAGTATCGACCTCGATCTACTGCAAACAAAGCACAAGGTAAGGTAAGGTAAGGTAAGGTAAGGTAAGGTAAACTTTTCCAATGTAAAAACCCAGCCTTTTAGGAATTCCATGTTGGGATGTTAGAGGTGGGTTAAGAATTCCTACGTATTACCCGCACTGGACGCTGGAGATTCGTCGTGGGTCACACTGGTAGGCCTTCCTTACTGTTGTTCAGCTGGCCTAACGTTAGCTACTGTTGTTGCATGTTGGGGAGCCCAACTGTTGTTCTGTTGTTGCTGTTAACACTTAGCAACGCTGTTCAGCTCGCTTAACGTTTGTGGTTTGAGACTTAGGGACAGCTAGCTCTAGCATCTCGTTGTATCGGACCCGTGCACACGTAATGTCTGAACTCTGATGATTTGGTAATGCCGCCCCGTTTCGACCGATACTCCACATATCATCACCCACAGACTCTTGCGTCTTGGCACAGAGCCACATGAGCAGCACGACTCCTCCTCGCCAATCTCTAAATGTACAGTAGACTGGGGCTCACAAACGCGGCGGTCGTGTAGCAAGAATTGTGGGCACGGCACCGCCACGGCACCGCCCCGCCGCGGCACCGCCTCGCGCTTCGAGTGGGCCTTCATCTGCGGGGCGGCGCAGCGGAGGCGCGGACCGGCGCCATGCCCGGCGGGGTGGCGAGGATGCTCGCTTCGACGATCTCTGTAGGCGGCGCGGCGCGCCACTTCTCCTACCGATGCAACGGGACCCGATCCCTCTCGTGTTGTGTATGTTGCCTTCCCCACCGGCCACTGCTGTGCTACTGCTACTACCGCTCCGCTGCAGCTACTCTCCTGCGCGAGCCAGCTCTGCTTCCAGACCGGCCCCGCGCCCGACGCGCGCCGCAGCCGGTCGCCGACCGGACCGCCTACAGGACGTGTCTCGGACATGTCCTGGACGTGTCCTGGACATGCCTCAGCCGGTCGCCGACCGGACCGCCCTTTTGGACTGTGGCGTGCACCCAGCGGGTCGCGTGGTCGCCGAGGGTGGGGAGCACCTGTTCACAGCGGGAGGTGTGAAGAGGCGCCGCCCAGTCGCGGTATCGCCTCAGAGCCGCGGAAGCACGTCGGACAGCGTGCAATTGCTCACAGCCTCGAGGAAGCGGTCGGTCGCGCCTTCACAGGAGAGGGGGCGCACTGAGCCGGCCCGTCGATGATCAATCAGGTCCGCGGACCTGGCCGCGCCTTCCCACGAGAGGGCGCGCCGCTCCTCTGCGCTGAGCGGCTCGGGCTCCTGTTCATAGCAGGCGAGGAGTGACGAGAGGACGCCCTCGCGCCTTCCTCCGAGCTAGACTCCTCCCCGGCGCCGAGTCGAGCGCCGCCTGCAGCTGCTGCAGAAACTCCTAGAAGGTTCCAAGAAGGTTCCAAGAAGGCTCCTAGAAGGTTCGTGGCCGCCTGCAGCAGAAACTCCTCGGGCGTGTCGTAGGGGAGCGTGTTCCGGAACTGCATAAAGAAATCGTTGGACGGGTGGCGCTGCACGACCACGAACTTGCCCATCGCCAGCGCCTGCTCACGGCCGGCGGTGTGAAGAGGCGGCCGAGCCGCCTCGGCGCAAGCCGCCCGCCGCCGAGTCGTACCTCCGCCGTGGTGGTCGAGAGCACCTCCGACTGGGACGGGTTGATAAAGACCTGGCTCACAGCTGCAGCTGTGAAGAGACGCCGCTCGCACCGCCTCGCACACCGCAAGGGCTCGGCCTCGGACCTTGTACCGCCGCAGCGTGGCGCCAGAGTGGTCGGTGGGCGGGAAGAAGGAGAGCCTACGGCGGCGCCCTCCCTCTCTCCCCGACGGCCTCTCCTCTGCCCTCGTCGGGCGGCGGCAAGCAGGAGGCGCCTCAGCTCCCGCGCCGCCGCCTCCACCTCCACCTCGGCCAAGTCCTCGCCGCCCCCGTACACGTCGACGTGCGTCGGCGGCTGGCCGAGAGACTGCTGCAGCGCGAGGTAGTCGATCAGCAGCCGGTGCCCCTTTGCCCACAGCACCTTTCCCAGGAAGTAGGCGCCGGCGCGGCGCGGCGGGAAGTGCGACCTCGCAGCGCGGCGTCCAATCTCGAGGAACTCGGACCGCACGCCATGCACGTTGCAAACCACCGCGCGCGGAAGGGGCTGGATCGTGCCAGACAGCTTGATGACCCGGTCGCAGTACGCTCCGCACATCCACTCGTTGAGCCGCTTGAGCACGGCGGCGGTGGCTGCGCCGGCGTACATCCTCGCGTAGTAGAGGTAGTTTGTGTGCACCACTCCAATCACCAGCTTGAAGCGGTGCCGCCAGTTGGCGCCCGAGTGGTACCAGTTGAGGTGCTCGGGCTCCTCGAGGACACAGACGTCGCACTCTCCCGCCTCGAAGCAGCCCGTCACGTCGCCTGCGCGGCGGGGTGTCTAGGAAGTGTCTAGGAAGTGTCTAGGAAGTGTCAAGCAGCCCGTCACGTCGCCTGCGCGGCGCGTCTCGGACGTGTCCGCACACGCGCCGGCAGCGCGTTGAGGCGGCCCGACGCGTCGCCGAGCGGGAGGATCTCTCAGGTGTCTAGGAAGTATCTAGGAGGTGTTTGGAGGTGTCTAGGAAGCGTCGCCGAGCGGGAGGATCGAGCCGCGGTCGAGGTCGTACCTCGCCTGGCGGAGGGAACGACTGGGTGAGTGGGTCGAGGCGGTCACAAGGGAGGTGGCCACGGTGAAGGGAGCGGGAGAGAACGACTCGAGGAACAGCGCCGCTCGGCTAGTCCTCGGCCTGCTAGATCCGGGTGAGAGGTTCGCTCCATCTCTCACCAACTCCGCCAGACTTCGGCCCACCTCTCTACCTCGTCTGTGTGGGCGGGCTGCTCGCCGGGTAAAAGCGCAGCCGAAAGTCCGCGCGCACGCCTCCCCGCTCCGCGAGCCAGAGTCGTATGTGCCGCTCTTGAGCCTGCGGGTCGGCGAAGCGCAGCCTCCCGGGGAAGACGAGAGCTTGCTCTCGCGGGTGCAGCCAGGGCACGGCCAGCGTCACGCTCCTGCGGCGAGGTAGGGCGACATCGACGGCTTGGGTGCGGTGAGGGGCGAGGGGTGGGAGGGGGAGGGGGGGGGGGAGGGCGAGGGTTAGCGTAGGGAGGGCGAGGGGCAGGGAGGGTAGGGGCAGGGAGGGTAGGGGCAGGGAGGGTAGGGGCAGGGAGGGTAGGGGCAGGGGTAGGGCTAGGCTTGTCACCGGCCAGCCTTGGAGAGGTAGGCGGCGCGGAGGAGCGGGTTGATGGCGGTGCCCGTCATCCAGGGAAGCGCCGCCGTCGTCACGATGGCGATGTGGAAGTCGTCCGTAAACACCTGCGGCCGCAGAGGCAGCCCAGCGGCGCTGTCGAAAGCAACATCGGGAGCGGCTCGCGCAGTGCGGCTGGGGCGTGTGCAAGACCTGGCTACGGATCTCGCGCAGGTCGCCCCGCTTCGCCGCGCGGCTGCGGCGGTGCTGCACGAGCGCGGTCCCCACCACCAGCCAGGCGGCAGGGTGCAGCGTACGAAGCAGCTCCGCCACGCGCAGGCTCGCTTGCCGCGCTCGCTCCGCCGCCTGACGGCTGATGCGGCGCGCGTGCGCCGCCGCGGCCGTCGTTGTCGCAGACGTTGCCGCCGCGGCAGCCGCAGCAGCAGACGCCGCCGCCGCAGCGGCAGATGCCGCCGCCGCGGACGCCGCAGTGAGCAGCGCATCTGCGGGAGGCGAGGGCGCGGGCGCAGTTGCACCGCGCCGCTTCGGCCGCGGAGCTGGCGAGGCGTCGCGGCGGACGCGCAGCCCGGGCAGGCTCGACGCGGCGGCCGGCGCGCAGAGCAGAGCGGCCGCAAACGCACACGCCAGCCAGCAGCGGCGGGGCCCAGGCGCCATACAGGTCGTGTACACACAAACAGTGGATTTTGCTCTGTGATTGGTTGGGTATTGATCAGTCCACCAGAGCCTGGCTGTTCTTCACCTTTCTACCTACCTAATGCCGCGTTGGGTCCAGTCCGATCCCGACTGTTCCTCACCTTTCTACCTAACCTGCCTAATCATCTCTCCCGCGTCCACCCATACCGCGTTGGTGTCCAGTCCGAGCCTGGTTGTTCTTCACCTGGTTGTACAATGAAACAGAGGCCGTCTCGGTCTCGCCGTTGCACAAGTGCACTCAAGAAACGTCTATTCGTTTACTAGTCCTACACTATCTTCCGCGCATGTATTTTGCGCTCAAACGAAACAACTGTGTATGCATTCTGGAGAGGCCTATTTCTTGCACTAGGAGCCCAGCTGCCGGGGCGCAGGAGCCTGGTGCTCGAGCGTCGAGGAGCCTGCTGGGAGGCCAGACCTGATAGATGCAGAAATGCGCCACCTGGCACTGGACGCGCAGTGCGTGAGCCGTGCGATTTTTGTTTTTCCGCTGCTCGAGCCGGTTTGCGGTGCCTACGGCGAGAAAAGGAGCGTCCGATCCGGTCCGGCCCCGGCGGCCAGCGGGAACGCCGAGCGCCTCGGACGCCAAGCGGAAACGGCGTGTTCCGAGGCGGGGCGCGGTGGCCCGATCACCGGTCGGCGCCTTCGCGGCCGGCCGGCCCGGTGGGTTGCCACGGCACATGCGCCGCGCGCCGTCGCCAGGCCCCGCCGCCGCCCCGCCAGAGCAGCGGCGAGATGGGAGGCGGTCGGCGGGTACCATCGGCTCTTCGAGCGAGCTTTCAGCTCACTTTGACGACGCTAGGAAAATCAATTCGTGGAATCCAGTCCGAGATGCAGTGTGAGGCGGAGCCTACCCTGTACGTGTTCGACGTGTATATCGTTGAAATAGAGATAAGAGAAAGGGGAGTCGCAGATGGCTACACATTATGGCCTCGGGTCGCGCACGCCAGGGAGCAGCTCGGGGAGCACTGCGCCCTCCGGTGAGAAGAGCGCGCCCACCTCGACGCCGCTGCTAAAGTCGAGTAGCTTCGCGTCGGCGCCCTCAGCGTAAAAATCCTCGGCCTGCGTCTCCGGCGTGTAGGTGATGACGCAACGCATGTTGGCGGCCTTGGCGGCGCGGAGGCCAACGATCGAGTCCTCAACAACGACGCAATCGGCGCTGGAGAGGCCGAGCCGTTGGGCGGCCACGTTGTAGATCTCCGGGTGCGGCTTCTTGCGGCTGACGTCGTCGCCGGCGATGACCACGTCCAGCCTGGCGAGCCGCTCCTGGCCGACCACCGCATCCACAACCTAGCAAAGCCGACATCTCACAGAGACGCCGCCCGAGATGCGCCCGAGATGCGCCCGAGTTGCGGCCGGGATGCGGTCGAGGCGGGATTCGAGCAACCTTCTCGAAGCCGCCGCGAGTGGAGGCGGAGCAGATGCCGACGGCAATGCCTGGCGCGGCGATCGCGCTGTCCATCAGCGCGAGCACGCCGGGGCGCGGGCCGGCCTAGAAGAATGGGATGTGGCTGAAGAAGGAGGCTGAGCCGTGAGGCTCGCCGGCGCTGCGGGACCGCCTTTGTCACCAGCTGCTTGTAGCACTCCGTCTTGAAGTCTTGCAGCTCATCGACGAGCGCCATTCCGGCGGCCTCGTCCGCAGGCACGGCGCCGCCTCGCGCCGTCGGAGCCGGCCACACCTCCGAGGCACACGAGATTACACGAGATTACCCGAGGTTACCCGAGGTTACCCGAGATTACCCGAGATTGCCGAGGAGCCGGCCACACCCTCCGAGGCACAGACAGGCGGTGTCGAACACTCCTCACGACTGAGTCGTCGTGACGTGTGTCCCGGTGATCAAGACTCACAATGACCATTCATCCCTCACCTTGGCCGTGTCCTGGTGCGTCCTCGCGCCCTCCGGCGCACCGAGGCCGGTGAAGTGGTCTGCGCAGGAGGAGAGCGAGGGTGAGGCGCCAGGAAGGTGGAGGCTTCTCCGCCGTCCGGGCGCGCGGCGGGACGCACATCGCATTTTGGGCTTGCCGCCGCCCACCGTGTTGGCGAGGAAGCTGTAGTACTCTTTGGACCAGACCACAGGCGCGCCGGCGATCTGCAGGCCAAACTCCTCAAAGGCCATGTTGTATGCGACGCGGTGCAGCTCCTCGGTCTCGACGAGGACGCCGTCGCAGTCGAACAGCAGCGCCGCGGACGGCGGCGGCGACGGCGGCGGTGGTGAGCCCTCGTCGAGGTTCACTCCCCACACGAAGCCGTCCGGCGGTGAGATCTCAAGCGTCATCGACGCGAGGCCGGCGCGGCGCGAGGCGAGGCGACGCGGCGCGAGCAGAAGGAGCGCGTCCGCGGTGGCGAGCGCGAGCAGGAGACGCAGCATATATCCTAGCGTCGTCCGGAGCCGCGCCGCAGCCGATCACTAGAGTCGACTAGAGGATCCACTAGGCCGATCTGCGTCGCAGCCTCATCGAATTCTTTTTTGTTGGTACCCGCGGGTCTTTGTTTCTTTTTTACGCGCTCTCTTGCCATGGCAGAGCCCTGGCCGGTAGAGCTGCCGGTAGAGCTGGCTGTCGTCCACCCGTCCTCGCCCTAGGGAGAATATAGGCCTGCCATGCAAGGAGTCCGCGAGCTGCTGCAGTCTCTGGACGAAGCGGCAGCGGAGAGCGACCGGCGACGGCACGAGTGCTACGAGAGCGTCCTCTCCTCTCTGCACTGTGCACGGAGAGGCACCGTCACGCCTCTCCGCCACCACCTCCATCCTCACTCGGCTGCCGCACCACTGCACTCCACCTTCGACACCGCCTCCACCGCCTCTTCCTCCGACTCCGAGGAGCCAGACTCGGCAACTTCCCCGGACGCTCTCAGCAACTGCCGCCGAAGGCACGAGCGGAGGCGCCAGCATATCACGGCCAGCTTGGTGCCCCACTCCCCGCCCCCGTCCGCTCCTCCGACGTCGCCGCCGCCGCCGCCGCCGCCGCCGCCGCCGCCGCGGCCGCCGCCGCCGCCGCCGCCGCCGCCGCCGCCGCCGCCACCACCGCCGCCTCCCGCCCTGCCGGCGCCTCCGCCTCCGCCGCCCCGCGCCTCGGCAGCCCTCCCGTCCGCCTCCTCCGCCGGCGGGCGGTGCTCGAGCCTCGGCGACGAGGTGCTGGCGGCGGCGGAACGGGTGCACGCCGCCGTGGACACGCAGCTCTATCTCGGCTGTATCTCGGCGATATCTCGGCTAGATCTCGGCTACAGGTGCACGCCGCGGTGGAGAAGGAGCGGGCGGCGTCGCTCTTTGCGCGACGCGAGTGGTGGTACAAGGCGGTGGCTGCGGAGGGGGGGCGGTGCGACGCGTGGCGCCCGGGTCAGCCGGACCTGTCCTGGACCTGTCCTCGGCACGTCCTCGGCCTGTCCTTGCAGGTACTACTGCCTGCGGCGCGGCGCGGCGCTGCAGTTCGTCGTCGGCAAGCGGATGGTGGCGGAGCGAGCGGGCAGGCCGAGGGCCACCTCTCGTCCAGTGGGTCTGACTCCATTGCTTTGATCAGGTGGCGGAGCGAGAGACGGACCGGGGGCGGGCGGGCGCGAGAGGGGCGCCGAGGAGGGCGCTAGACGGAGAGACAGAGAGGCGCCACCCCCGCCCGCGAAAGGTCTCACAGCTGATGCGCCGTCATCCCGCCACTGGCATAGGAGGGGCTTCCTCGTCCACGATTGCGCCGCGAGGGCGCTCGAGGCGGCGGCGGAGACGCGGAGGGGAAGGCTGCCGTGCAGCCTGGTCGTGCTGCGCGTGCGGGCGAGGGGCGAGTGCGCGCCGCCGGCGACAGAGTGGCCGAGTCCTCGAGTCTTGAGAATGAAGTCTTGAGTGGTCATCTATTGGTTGCAAGGCGGCGGAGTGGCCGAGCGCGAGCGGCGCCTGGCCCTTCCTTCCGCGTCATCACTGTCGCCTAATTAATAGTCTAATTCCCTATTAATTAGCTATTAATTAGGCGCCTGGGCCTTCCGCGTCATCACCGTCGCTGGTGTGGCTCTGGAGAGGCAGCTCTGGATGGAGCAGCAGCCGACGGCGGAGCGGTGGCTGCCCCTCACCCGCCCCGGCGGTGCCCAGGGCATGTAGCATGTCCGTGACTTGTCCGGGACGTGTCCCGCAGGTGGCTGCCCACCCAACCGCCAGGGCTGTGCCGCCGCTGCGCCTTTGGCGCCGCCACGTGCGTCCACGTGCGGAACCGCGGCGTGCCTCTGCGCGGAGCTGCCTCCCCTCCCCGCGGCCGGCAGCTGCCTCCTCCGACACACCAGTGCGCGGCGACGCACGCACCGACGGTGCCGAGCCGCGGGCGGAGAAGGAGTGAGGCGGCGGTGAGGGCGGCTACCGCCGGGTTGTCCACCAAATGCTTCGCATGACCCAAACAACGACTCTCTCGCTGTCCCACTTTTCCTCGTGCAGAGTACACACGCCGTTTCAAGTGAATACACCGCGGTCGTGCGGCGATCTACGTTTGTTATTGCGTACTAGTAGACTGTAGAGAAGTGAACGGCGCTTTTACATGTTACACACATCACACTCTCGAGGCGACGGTCGGAGCACGGTGCACGGAGGACGGAGGCGTGGCGCGTGGTGTACCCCGAGCCCCTCGCGGCATAAAGGGCTCCTGCCCGAGTCCCGGTGCAGCACGGACTCGGCTGGTGAGTCGGTGGAAAGCGAGGGCCGCTGCCGATGCCGCAGGGGGTAGCGGTGTCCGGGCGTGGAGATGCGAGGGTCGCCCCCCCTTGCCCCACCACCTTGTGTGTGTGGAGACGTTTACCTTACCTTACCTTACCCCTTAAAGGTAGAGTTTTGCCACTGATCCCACTTTGCTCTACCCCGAGCCGCCACTACCGTAGGCTGCCTCCCACGCGGTTAGCGGCTTGGCAGTCTCTGCACGTGCGCGCGGCCGGCGCGTACCTCAGCAGAGTAGAGTCTAGTCTAGACTACTCTATAGAGTCTAGAGAGCAGTTACCGTAGAGTCTATACAGTTTACATTGACTATACACAGCACGTCAGCACACAATAGGCTAGACAATAGGCTGTGTCGTCGATTCGCCCGCCCCTTGCCCCAGCACTTTGTGTGTGTGGAGACGTTTACCTTACCTTACCTGTGTCGTCGCTAGCACCTCGTCGCTCCCTTGCTTCTCACACCCCATTCGTCGATCGCATTCTGCGGTGGGGCAGCACGCACTTGCGACCCACAACCTCCAGCGCGGCTGCTGAACCGCCGCTCTTGGGCAACGCCGGCTCTAGCCCCGGCTCGCTCGCATCAGCAGAGACAAGCAAGTTGGTCCACGCGCCGACCGCCTCGCCCGCCGCCCTGTGCTCGCGGTCGGGCCGCACCTCCTGCTGGTCGATGAGCAGCTGCACGAGAGACTCGGTCATCTCGACCAGCAGCCGTTCCTTGAGCTCCGAGCCGTGCGCGCTCAAGTTCGGACTCTCATTGACCTCGATCAGCCACGGCCGCAACGCCTGGCGCAACAAACGGCGATGGTCGGGAGACATCTCGGCTCTCTCCTTGCCGCATCTCGGCCGCATCGTGTCGCTTCTCGTCCGTCTTTCCCCATCCTCACCTCGTCGAGCACAAAATCGAGTCCGTAGACCTCGAACGAGCCAACGCGCGGGCTGGACCGCTCCTGCGCGCTCTGCATCGCCGCGGCGGTGATGCGACGCAGCGCCGGAAGCACGCGCCCCGCCCATGCGCCCCCGAGCCCGCGCCGCTGCAGCTCCCCCTCTAGCTCGGCCGAGCTCCAGACCTCACCAGCCACCGATGGCGCATGCAGCCCTCCGAGCCGGTGACACCAAGAGGCTGGAGTCTGCGCTAGGCCGCCCCTGCTCCCTCGCCTGGCGGCGTCGCCGGCAGCGCCTGCGTATTGCCTCTGCACACTCACATTGGTGATGTGCCCGAAACGGCTGGCGAGGTTGTCGAGCGAGAAGGGCTCCGAGCAGAAGCGGACGAGGCACTCCTCGTACATCCAGACGGAGAGCGCCTAAGGCGCAGAGGCGGGCGCGATGTCACCCGGCGGTCAGAGGCCGGCTCGTGGCAGAGATGCAACGCCGCGCGCCGCCCAGTCCGCCACGACGACCCAGCAGCGGAGGTCGAACTTGTAGCCCTGCACCAAAAAGGGTCGTTCGATGTACTTTTGAACCACCTAGAGGCGCGGAGGGGTCCGGCAAGGCTCGGGGAGGGCGCTCCGAGGTGGGTCGCGCGAAACGCCCTCATCGTCCACCCGCTGCGTCCTCCCCTCCGCAGCCACACGCGCCAGGCCGTCGTTGAAGAGGCGCATCCCAGCACCTTTCGAGCCGTAAGACGGCTTGAGAAGCCATACCTGTTGACACCGACACGTGTGCCGAGACGACTTTTACCTCCATGAGACGGCACGCTGCGCGCGTAGCCACGTTGCGCGCGCTGCCGAGGGAAGACTGTGGGTCGAGAAGCGCCACCTCCTCCAGCGCGGCCTCGGCCGCCGGGCGCAAGCCGAGCGAGGCGCCCGCTGCGCCGGGCGGGATCCTCGAGGCGCCAGAGGCAGCAAAGGTGACCATGTCGGCCTTGAGGGCGGCGGTGGTGGCCGACACGCTTGCGAGGCCATCGACACCTCTCTCGCTCTGGTTGTGGACATAGGTGCGGACGATGTCGAGTGCTGCCCGGACGAGCGGCGCCGGTGGCGGCGCAAGTGCGGCCGCTTCTGGCCGGCATGGCGAGTCTGCACTCTCGAGGAGGCGATGCAGCACCGCTGACGCAGCGGAGCGCTCAAAGTCGGCCTGGAAGGCGGCAAAGTGGCCCTCGTCGGCGAGATCGTAGGAACGAGGGAAAAAGGCGCGCGGGTCGCAGTCGGCCTATCGGTAGTCAGAGGGGTGAAAGGATGCGCCTCACTCCTCGCGAAGGGAAGGCTCCGCGTGCGCAAGCCTGCCACCGGCAGCCCACGCGTAGAGTCTCTGCGATGCCCACCTTGGTGGTGAAGTCGGTGGGATCGAAGTGGTTGCAGAGCTGGCCGAGCTGCAGCCGCTTGAAGTCGACATCGCCCGACCGGACGGTCCAGAGCAGATGCACAAACGGTGCGCTGTCTTGCCGCTCGACCTCATGCCAGCCACGCGCGCGCAGGGCGCGGGCGATCCCCGTATTCTCAGCGAAGAAGAGGAGTCCACTGCTGAGCTGGAGTTGGATGGAGGCGACCAGCGGCGCCGTGCCGCATCCGGCGCACTCGACATGCAGATGCACCCTCCCCGGCGCACCGCCCCGTACCACGGCGTGCAAGACTGAGGCGCCTCGCGCGCCGGCGGCGGTTGGCCTAGTGTGTGTAAGGTCAAGGTAGGTCAACCCGTCTTCTTGCTGGTGTGGCGTAGGGTGGGCGTTGTTCCGGCACATCCCCGTATCCTGAGATAGGCAGGTGCCTCACGGCTCTCAAGGTCGCTAGGAAGGTGGGAGTGCTCTTGCGGGTTGCCTCGTGCAGCGAGAGAGGAGCTCGCACTCGATGTCCGCGCACGATGCCTCGCCGCCGCCCTCCCTCGTCTCCGGGCGGACGGAGAGGTGCAGAGGCACGTCGCCCATCGACAGAGGGTTGCCGGCACCGTCGACGAGCCAAACCTTGACAGGACCAAAGGGGCGATCGCGCACGATGCAGCCGGTGTGCATCGTCGCTCGCAAGGAGTGAGGCGGACCCGCCGCAAGCTGCAGCGCCAGCCTGCAGCCAAGCAGCTTGCCTGTGCTCTCCCTAACTCCGACATGGCACGTCCCCACCGCCCCCTCCAGCCGCAGATAGATTTGGGTCTCGCCATCCCGCGAGGCCTGTGTGAGCAGCTCTGCGTGGACAGCGGCCGGCACAGCCGGCGCCAGGACAGACTGCGTGGTAGTCGCGCTGATAGATCCCGGCTTACGCATAGAGAGGTGATTGTGCGCCGACCCAGCAGAGCCCTCGTCCTCGTGCGTGGAGCAGGAACCGCTAACGGCTGATGGCGTGGCGCTAGCCGGCCGGCGCGCCGGCGGCCGAGCCGTGCGGGGCCCTGCCATCGGCCCTGCGGAGGCTGGCCTTGACGGTCGGCTGTGACAGGCGCCAGCGAGATGCGGGTGCGGCGAATCGGCCCAGCTCCCATGCGTGAGTGTGCGCCGCCCCTTTGGCAGCTCTGGCACTACCGCCGAGCAGTCGGCATCGCAGAGGACGGCGTTCAGCGGGCCGTGTGGGACGGGGTTGCCAAACGCGTCGACGGCCCGAAGCCCGATCGGCCCAAAAGGCTCGGAGCTGCGAGGGGCGTGGTCGGGCACGCGTGCCTCCAGCGCGTGTGGCGTAGACGCAGCCACATGGACGCGCAGCGGGCTTCCCTGCACGTGCGCCCCTTTGAGCGTCGCATGCAGCTCATAGGCACCCGCAGCCTCGGAGCCAAACGTCACCTCCAGCGGCCCCGACTTGAGTCGCCGAACTCGGGTCCACGGCTCTGCTTGCACGCCAAGCTGCGCCCCTGGCCAGGTCCCTCGCTCGCTGCCGGGAGTCTCTGCGCGCTCCTCTCGCGCGAAGCTTGGCCGACTGCGCCGAAAGCGGCTCGCTCCCTGAGGCCGAGGCGGCGCCTGCCGATGCGCCGGAGCGCTCGGCGCCTCGCGGTGGCGTAGCAAGCCGCTGGGTCGCTGCACTCGTTCTGCGGTGGCGTCGAGTGCGGGCGGTCCTGCAGCGACATCTGGCTGGTGAGCGGCCGACCATCCCACCGAGAGGAGCGACAACTGCACGGGCTGCGATGCCGCGTCCGCTTCAGAGGCTGCGTTTCCCCACGCATCATTTAGCGTGAGGTGTAGAGGCGCGCTCGGCTCGCCAGCGCGCGCCACAAGGACGGCTGCGCCCGCTTCCCGATCGAGACCATAGGGGGGTAGATCAACGGAGGAGCGTGGTGAGGCGGAGCGTGGTGAGGAGGAGTCAAGCCTAGCGCCTCCCGCCTCTAGCTCTGCCGCCAGCTCTGCCGGCGCGTGGAGGGAGCTCCTCGAGGCGACTGGCCCGCCGGCTTGAAGGCGAACCTCGACGCAAGACTGCACCCGCGCAGGCTGCTCGAGCTCTGCCTCACCGCCAGCTTTGCCAGCAAAGACGCACGTGAGGAAAAGGCGGGCAGGGCGGACCGTCCCCCCCATCGCAAGGCGCAGCTCGAGCCATCCGCTGGTGCCAGCAGTAGCATCAGCAGCAGCGGCCGCGACCCGTCTGCACCGCACGACCCGAGTAAGCGAGTCATCACCTGGCGCCTCTACGGCGTGTGCCTCGGCGCCTCGCACGTCGGGATGAATGTGGGCGAGCAGGACTCCTTCCTCGACCAGAGCTCGATCATGGGGGTCGACTACTACGGCCGCTTCTCGCTCCACGCGGCGATGCGAGTCTACCGGCGCGCGCGCGACGACTATGGCACGCCCGCCACTGGCGCCTTCCTCGGCTGGTTTGGCGCCCTCTTCGACTGGCCCGCCAACCCGGACCCGATCCGCAGCGGCGGCACCACGCGCACCAAGGCGCTCGTGTCTGGAAACCTCTACGACCCAGGCACGGCATTTGGGTGGACGGCGGCAATGCGCAAGGCCTTCCCCGACTCGGCGCTGCTCGTCTCGCAAGGCGTCGGACACATTACGGACGGCCGGCGCCGGTGGGTGGACTTCCTCGGCCGCGTGGACGGCAGGTGGGTCGACGACGTGACCGAGGATTACGCCGGCTGCCTCGAGGCGGTCACGCGCTACTGGGCGAGCGGCGAGCTCCCCGTGGACGGGCTGGTGTGCAGGGAGGGCGCACCCGTCGTGGCGGCAGAGAGGCGGACGGAGACGGAGTGAGCCGCCGCCTCTGACGTCGAAGGGGGGGGGGGGGGGGGGGGGCACGTGCCCGCCCCCGCGGGCGGCCGCCCGCCGGCGCCGCGCCGCCGCGCGCCGGCGCCGCCCCGCCGCCGGCGCCGCGCGGGCCGGTTTGCGGTTATTGCCGCGTTGGTGTGTGTGTATCAGTGATCCGGGGACAGGGTGCGGGTGCGTGATTTCACAATAAAACAACGTATTCTGGGCGGAGAACACGGCGGCGCGGCGGAGCGAGCGACCGCCCACTGCCACTCTGCACGAAAACGGCACCGCCTCTCTCGCGTTGCCCGCGAGGGTACTGGGCCGCGTTCTCCCCCCCGATGCACAGGGCGTCACTGCGGCAGGTCCTACTCCTCCTTCATCGGGATCGGCTTGACGAGCGGGTCTGCGGTGCGCGGGGGGGCGATGCACCCGCTCAAAGGCCACGCCGGCCGGCGGCGAGGGCAGGTGAGGCGAGGGGGGAGAGGGGAAGGGACGTGGGGCGAGCGGAGCGGGCGGCGCGCACGTAGCTGCATCATGTAGGTGATGAGCCACATGAGCCAGCAGCAGACGGTGGCCGTGATTATGAGCAGGTTGGTCAAGCCGCGGTCCTTTGAAAGCGTCTTTGAGAAGCACGAGCCGAGCAGCGCGACGGCGCCGGCGCCGGCAAAGGTGGCGGAGCCAAAGACAATTGTGTTCTGCGAAGGAGGAGGCGCGCGAGTGGGAATCGCGCTGCGCGCGCGTGCGGCCAAGCGGTTCGGAGCTGCGGCCGCCACGTCATGCGCCAAAGCGCGTGGCGCGCTGCGGGGCTCGCGGGCGCGGGCGGCTCGCGGCGCTGCGACCCGCTCTCGCGGCGCTCGCCAAAGAGGGGGGCGGGACAGCCAGAGGCCGAGGGGAGGCGCGCACCATTGGCGCGTCGAAGGGAGGCTTGCTGTGTCTTCTCCGGTTCTCGGCGCGGTGAAAAAAATTCGGGGCACCGCAGGTCCGCTCCGAGAAATGTTTGTCTTCACCCTGCCCAGCCCCCCTCCGTGTCGCGATGCGCTCCCCGCTCCCGTTCCCCTGTGTCCCTGATCGTCCTTACAAGATCCTGCTCGCGCAGGTGGGGACCCTGTCCTTCTCCCACCCCTTGTTTGGTGTGTCCGTTTTATTTATTTATTTATTGTCTTTGGCACCAACATATGTACCAACATCGGACACAGAAGAAGAATTCGCGTCGCTCCACACACCACTGCCGAGCCCGCCCAGGATAACGCCAGCTCTCCCTCCCTATGAGGAAAGAGAGCTACCCCTCGGACGAGAACGGCGCGCCGCTCGACACGCCCGAGTGGCGGAATGCAGACAGCATCCGCGACACCGCCTCCCCAAAGGACCCGCCGATCGTCGCGGCGGTGCGCCAATTGGCCTCATTCGTCTCAACCAAACCCCTGTTTTGCCCGGACCGGCGGCGGCGGGATCCTCCGACTCGGGCTCTGCCCGCCCTTCCACCACAGGTGCGCGTCTGGGACACAACACCGGAGCAGCTCGAGGCTGCGCTCGCGGCGGCCGGTGCAGACTTGGCGGGCGAGGTGAACCGGCCGGACCGGTTCGGCTTCACGCCCCTGATGCTCGCAGTCAAGAGCAAGTAGCGCCCGGAAGCCGTCGCAGGGGCGGGGAGAGGGCGGGAGGCCCGAGCCGCTCTCCTCTCGCCGTAGGCAGAGCCGCGCCTCGAGCAACCAAACAAGCGGCTGCGGCGCCGCTCCCCGACCCCTCGCCGGACGCCTGCTCGCAGGCAGCCGGGTCTGGTCGACAAGCTGCTGGAGGTGGAGGGCGTGCAGCTGGACGCGCAGAGCAAGCGCGGCTTCTCCGCCCTGATGATCGCCGCGTGGAAGGTGCGGCCGTGGGCTTGAGGACCCTTCCCGGACCCTTCCCGGACCTGTCTCGGACCCGTCTCGGACCCGTCTCGGACCCTCCTCGGCCCTCCTCGGACCCTCCTCGGCCCCTGCCTGGCCTCAGGCGGACGACGCGACGATCGACAAGCTCGTCGCCAAGGGCGACAGCCCTACTCAACTACCATTCATCACCACTTGTCAGCTCTGTTCCATGGGAGAGAGCAGCTCTGTTCCACGGGCGGGAGCAAATCTCTCTCTCTCAACTAGCCTTCATCAGCCCCAGTCAGCTCTGTTCCAACGGAGAGAGCAGCGGCTGCTCCGCCGCTAGTCGTAGCGCCAGACGCCTCAAAGCCCGACCGCTTCCCGCCCCCGCTGCCGCTCAGGCGCGGACTTGAGCTTGCGAGACGGCGGGGCGAGGAACGCGTGGGGCGTGGCGCACGACTGGCGCGCGGGCGGCGAGATTGCCCGAGATCGCACGAGATCGCACGAGATTGCAGCAGATTGACCGAGACTGCCGGGCCGGGGGACTGGAGCGGCGGGCGGCGGGGCGGCAGGCGCGGGGCCGCTCGCCTCCGCGGCGCCGCGGCTGACTGCCGCTACTCACTGCCGCCGGCTCCACCCCTCCCTCTTCCTCCTGCCGTGTGGTGCAGGCACAACGAGGGTACGCTCGACTGCCTCGGCAGGCACGGCCTCACCTTCACCAGCCACGGAGGCGAGGCTCCGGCTCCCCGCCCGACCCCCTCCCTCCCCGCGCCCCCGAGCCAACCCCACCCGTTCCCGGCCTCCTCTCCTTGACGTCCAGGCACCTCCGTCGCCTTCCCGCCCGCGCCAAAGTGGAGGCCAGGCGAGGCGTGGGACTGACTCGTCCAACTGACCCGTCCGACTGACCCGCGGGACTGACCCGCGGGACTGGAGCGCAGCGCAGGGTGACTGTGTTCGTAGGTCTATTTTGTCCGAACACCCGCAAGACACGCATGCCGAATAAAAGTACATTTAACTCCTCACCGCCCGTGCACGCACCGCGAGAGCGAAACCTCAAACCAATCCAAGCGACCGCCGTGCCGCTGGCGGCGACCGCGCACCCCACCGGGCCTCTCCACCGTGGTCTATCTCCCACTGGCGCGTCCATTCGTCGCGCTGGCCGCCTGCCGCAATGAGGGAGCAGGTAGCAGGGTCTGCGGCGCGGGGCGGCGGATGCTCTCGCGGCCTGCGGCGCCTAGATTCAACCTCGACGACTGTGAGTGGCTCTCACGCTGCCTCTCTTAGAGGTCGGTGGCGCGCCCCAGCTGCGCAGCCAGGCTGGCCATCCGCGCTTGAGCCACCGCAGGAGCGCGCCGTCAGCCTGTTCGCACCACGGCGGTGTGAACAGCTGCTTCACAGCCGTGGCTCACCGGCGTGCCCGCCCCCCTCTCCGCCTCCGCGTCCGACGCGCCGGTGGTGGCCGAGGTGAGGTCAGACTCACATCCCTTCTCGCCGACTCGCGCCGTCTCGGGCGGCGGCGGCGTTGGCGGCGGAGGGGGCGCTCCACCCGCCGAGGAGCGCCAGTTCAGCTCCGACGTCTCGATCGCCACGCTGCTGCCTCGGGACGACGCCGCAGACGTCCTCGCCGAGTCGGCGGGCAGAGCGGCGGCGGCGGAGTGGGCGGCGAGCTGGGCTCTGGACTCGTCGACCTGCTGCCGGAGGATGGGCATCGCGCGCTGCAGGAAGGCGACATGCAGCCGCGCGGTGCGGCCCTCTGCTGCGCCCTCGGCAGGCAGATCGTCGAGGCAGGCCTCGACGACGGAGGCGAGGGCCGCGACGCAGCCGATCATCTGAGCCTGGCCCTGCCGCAAGCGGGCGTTCTCCGCACGCAGGCGCTCCAGTTCCATCCGAGAAGAGACGGACTGTCGGCCGCCGTGTCCTACCTTTGGCTTTCTTTGTTTTTTTAAAGGGGGGTTGCTGGAGAATCTTGCTGTGTCCCAGTCGTTGGTCGGACTGTGTTTCGCCTTCCCATCAATCAATCAATTGCTGTTCTTTAAGAGCTATCCTTCGACGAGAGACGAGAGAGATTTTTAGCAATACCGAACAACTCTAACACGTTGGAATGCGGAGATAGTAACTGCTCTCTGTAGTGCTCCCATCTCCACTTCTTCTCAGGTCATACATCATACTGACCTGGGGGGGGCGTTGGAATGCGGAGCTCTTCGCACTCTCTAGGGGTTGGAGCGATGTCTCGCTCCACTAGTACCTCGCACTTTCGTACTCTCTGTTTGTCCTGCGTGACACTTGTGCCTCCACACTGTCCATCCAGTGTGACGAATTCAGTGTGACTCATCGTGTCACGCACGCCGATGCGGCTCGTTTAGTTGTTCGTCGGCGGCTTCCAGCTCTCTTTCTGTTCTGTTTTTGCACTAGCACTAGCATGGGAGGCAGAGGGATGGGGGGAGGGGGGGGCAGAGGTAAGGTGGGGTGAGACTGGGGAGGACCTCAGAGGTCCTCCATGGGGGTGGGGTCCGGCCCGAAAAGGTCAAAGCCCTTGGTGCCGGTCCCGCCATCGCCGCCGACGCCGTCGCCCTCGTCCGCCTTGGAGGCGGGGGTCGTCGGGCGGGGCGCCTCGCCCGTCGCGAACCTGCCGCCGAACACGGCGTCGGCCGGCGCCGAGGCGCCGGCAGCCGTGATCAGGTCGGCGACCTTTCGGTCCCTGCAGGCCGCATCAATTTTGCCGCCCCGGGACGGCTCGTAGTCTAGAGCTCGTTGGCGAGCCAGTCCCGGGCGACCTTCGTCGCCACGGAGCCCAGAGGGACCGTGGCGTATACACCAGGTCGCCGAACCCGCTGCCCCCCTCGGGAGGCAGCGAGTACTCTAGGCGACCTGAATATTGGACCCGCGTCTAGGTTCCCAAACACGGCCAAAAGAATTTTCTTGAGTCCCACCGAACCGTCTACAGCTCGCCGTTGACAGAGATGACAACCCTCAGAGAGAGTTACATTCTACATCATGGCTCCTCCAGAGTGATCGAGACGCGTGGCGCCCACGTCCGACTCCTCCTGCTCCTCCCCCCTCCGCCCCCCTCCTCCTCCTCCTCCTCGGAAGACGACGTGGACGAGTCATCCCCGACGAGTCGCAAGCTCGCATCGCCGCCAATTACGCGCATCGCACCCGCTGCCTCCGCACGGGACGCGGCATCGGATGGCAAAGCAGCGCCAGGAGCCGGCGCCGAGAGCGGCGGCGGAGCACTGCAAGCGGCCGCCGTCGTGCACGAGTGGGGCTGGCCACTCTGCGCAGCAGACGATGACGGAGGCTCGGCAGCCCGCGAGACCTGCAGGCCATGCAGCAGGAAACTGTCGAGCGAGAGAGCGGCGGGCACCTTCGACCTCCGCCGCGCCGTCTGTTGACCGGGGAGCGGCGACGCCGGCGGTGGCGAGGCGCGGTCGGAGCTAGTGGCGTTGTGGCCGAGCGCTGGCAACGCAATGCCGGACGCCGCGCGTGGCAAGTCGGAACGGCGCTGGCCGTGGCCGAGGAGGCGCCCCAGGGACGGCGACGGGGAGATCGCAACCTTGAAAGCGTCGCTGAGGAGATGACGCAACGTGCTCTCGCCCAGCTGCTGGCTGACGACGCGCAGCAGCACGCGGCAGAGCGCGAGCATCACCTCAGGCTCCGACCTCTCGAGCAAAGCGCGGCGCCGGTGTGGCAAGCGCAGCAAGCGGCAGAACGAGACCGATCGTGCGACAAGACGGAGAGGCGCCGCCTCCGCCGCCTCGCCGCCCGGCAAGGCCCCGAGCGAAAGGTCACCGAGAAAGACTCCTGGGCCTCGCACCTTGGCGAGCCGGCGTTGAGCCGCGCCGCCGCCGCCCCCGCCGTGGCCGCCGCCGCCCCCGCTGCCGCCTCCGGCACTCTCCCCACCGGCTTGGGTGCTCGCAAACAAGGCGACCCAGCCCGAGTCAAGAATGTAGAGGGCCTCGTCGTCGTCGCACCGGCTGCCGCTACCAGATATGTCGTGGTCGGGCGGCACCAGAGCGATGTCGAGGTGATCAAAGAGGCCTGCGCGCAAGGGACCGCACCAAATGAGAGCGCCGCCGGTGCTGTGAACAAGCGGTGCTGTGAACAAGCTACCGCCGGTGCTGTGAACAAGCTAGCTGTGAACAAGCTAGCTTTCAACTCCATTCCAGCCGGGGCGGGCCGGCGGGCGGCGCTGCCTGCCAGCTCGGGGGCGCGGTGGAGGTTCGTCATGCTCGCGCCGAAGCGCGCGCGGAGCTGCTCCAGCAGCGCGGGCGCCAGTCTCGCTCGCGCCTCGTCCGGCGAGAAGTTCGCTCTGCCGCCGCCCCCCGCCTAGAAGGTTCCAAGAAGGTTCCAAGAAGGTTCCTAGAGAAGTTGGCCCTGCCGCCGCCCCCCGCCGGCGGTGCGTACGGCGAACGCGGCGGCAGCGGCGAGCGGCGGTGCCGTTCGAGCAAGGCTGCCTCGACCCTCTCCAGCGCGAGGTCGAGGGTGGAGTAGGACTCGAACCGCTCAAACTCGGACCACCGGCCGGCCTCCCCTTCCGACAGGAGCGGGGCGTGCCGGCCGAGGGCGGCGAGGCAGGTCGAGTTGGCGCCTGCCACGAGCAGCCGCGCGGCGGGGCAGAGGCTCGCCGCCTCGAAGAGGGCGCTGACCGAAGTCGCGTCGACGGCAGGGCACTGCGCAAAGTCGAGGACGAGGTAGCCGAGCTCGAGCTGCTCACTGTCGTGGAGGCAGCCGCCGAGGCGGCGCAGGTGCTCGTCAACAACCTAGACACACGCGCGAGGGGAGTGTGAGGCACGATCCGCACACGAGCCGCTGGACTGCCGCTCCCCTCCTCCTCACCTCGACCAGCGACGCGCACGAGCCGAAGTAGAGCACGCCGAAGAGGTGAACGACCAGCGCCGACGCGCCGACGGCGTCGAGCAGCCGCGCGTCCTCCGCCGGCCTCGCCTACCCTCCGGGCCAGAACGAGCTGACCACGACGGGATCGGACAGCCGTGCGCCCTCTCGGCCGACCGCGCCACGTTCGAGCGCTCGAGCGAGGAGGTCGCGGTTTGCAGCACGCCGGAGTGCGCAGAGTACTCGAGCACGAAGAGAGCGGCGGTGAGGAGGACCCCGAGGAGCACCGCCGGCGCCATGCCAACGGACGCCGTGGTGGCGACATGCAGCAGCACGAGGGAGAAGTGGGTCGGCGGGAGGCGCACCTACCAGTCGTGAAAACAAGAGTGGTGAGATTGATCAGGGCTGGGGGGGGGGGGAGGGGGGGAGGGGAGGGCGCCCCGGGGACCCCGGGGGGGGGGGGGGGCCCGGGACCCCCCAAGGGGGGTTGGGCCTCGGAAAACCTCGGGGCATTTTGGAAACTTTTGGGTCGTTTCGCGCCCAAACGTCGGAAAAAATGTCCGCCAAGAGGTCCAGGCCCTTTTGCCCCACCATGGCCGCAAAGGCCACCGCGGGGAGGGCGGTGACCGGCCCCAAACCCCAGGCGAACAACAGGAGCGGCAGGAACCCCCCCCCCGCGGGGAGGTGCAGGCTTCCCCTGGCCCCCAAGGAATGCCCGGTCCCCCTCCCCGGGAAATTTGGCGTCCCCCTCCCCCCCAAGGGCGACCCGAGGAGGTGCGCCACCCCCATTGCCTACCCCCTTGGGGGGG